CCCCAAAACCCCAAAACCCCAAAACCCCAAAACCCCATATCACCTTGATTTGGTTGGCTTCAAACAACTAAAATAATTTCTATCAATTTTTAAGGACTAACAATAAATATGAAGCTTAAGACACGGTCGGTGAAAAAGAGAGATCTGAAAGCTTTGCAGAAGCAAAGTGAGACAGATGACGCTGAAGCTAGCTCCTACTCACAAGTAGCTAGTTGAACCACCAAGCCCAACCTTGAAGACATCATTATTTGACAGATTTGTAAGGATCAGGTTGATAAAGACCATAAAATGTGCCCCAAATGTAGCTGAATTTGGTGCAGTGAATGCATTCAACCTTGATTTAGCAATAAGAAAAGTGTGAATTGTCCCAATTGCAGAGGAACTATCCACAAAAAGAGCTTGAAGAAGCTTCCATTGTTTGAAAAACTCAAAGAATTCTTTCAGGATGTCACTACCTTTCCTCCAGCTCCCAAGGTAACTGGATGTCCGATCCATAATCTCCCAGATGAATATTATTGCAAAGAGTGAGACATCTTGTGATGTTCCAGGTGAGCTCTCCTGAGTGAGAGTCACAAGACACATTCTTTTGTCTCTCTAGAAGACATTTTTAAAGTCAAAAAGGAGTCAATCTTGCAGTTACAAGAGAAACTCAGAGGGCTGGCAAAACAATGTCAGAATTTGTTAGATGCCTCATCTAAAAATGTTGGGAGATCTAAGAAACATCTCTCTAATTTGAAAGGACAATTCGAAAGATGAGCCAAGGACTGGATCGATCAGTTTGAGGCAAAATTCAATACTCAGTTGGAAGCTGAGTCCAATTGTAAGAACTCTATTGAAGAACTTCTCACAGAAGCAAAAGCTCAGAATATTGAATTTCAGAACCTTCTTGAAAGAGACGACAAAGCTAACTTAATTAGAAGTTATAACGAAGTTGCTCATAATGCTAGAGGAATTCTTGTTAAGCAAGATAACCTTAAAGTATCGAAGGTCGTTGGAGGAGAGGACATAGAAAATCATTTCCTTCCTAAATACACCGCCCAAGAATGAGCCATTCCTTCTATAACAAATGAGACTCCAGAAGATCAGTACCTCTACTCTCAAGAGTTTGTGGTAGTCAAGGATAAATTTAAACTCGGAGCAAAGGTAATACAGGAGAAGAACACTAAGAAGGTCCAAATTTCCCTAAGGATATATAAGCCTAACGCTAGAGAGAAGCAATACCAAGTTCTGCTGTATCATCCTAAAAGCGGTAAGCTGATGGATGAGTTCTTCCTGTATGTGGACAAGCAAAAGCAGGCTGAGAAGCATATCTTAACGACAATAGCAATGAACAATAAGTAAGTCTCTCTAATTTCTCCTCTGTGAAATAGCTTAATTAATGTCTCTTTTATAGTTTTGAAGAGCTCAAATCTGATGATGGTAGACTTATCTTCCAAATTAAGGTTCGACCAGCCAGTTATTTACAAGTGACTTTGGACCAACAAGACTATATTGAACAACTAGAGAGAGGTAAAAATGAACCACTCTTGTAATTTAAAGATTTTCTCCGAAATTTTCTGCTAATCTCTAGATTTTTCCAATTTTATCAGATTTTTTGGGATTTCAAGTTACCTATTAAAGGAAGGGGTTTTGGGGTTTTGGGGTTTTGGGGTTTTGGGGTTTTGGGG